GTAGTCACGGTAAATAACTTCACTTCTTCCAAACTATTGATAACTGAAGGTGTCCCGCAGGGGTCAACTCAAGGCTTCCTTTTGTTCTTACTTTATGTAAACGATCTAGTAAATATCGGTGACTCCCCAGAAATAGTCAAGTTTGCGGACGTTACAAACGTAGTCTTTGAATGTAAAGAGCTAAAGCTCTCGAGGCAAAAGTCTTGTGATGGTCGTTTTTCTAAAAGGTGGTCTGAAACGAAAACATTTTCCAATGCTATATGGCACACTTCATTTACAATATCATACATCTCTCTGCATTTGGGTATACACTGGGATAATCAGTGCCATTGTTACTCCTTTGACTTCAATAAAAAGTACAAACAACTATCCGTTAATCAGTTGTCGAGGTATGACACTGTGTCATACAATAAATAAAAGAGTACTAGTGCACGCATGACAGCTTTCTGAAACACTGGCTTATGTATGTTCATGCTCATGCTCTACCAAACAAGTTAAACTGGTGATTTTGAGAAAGTATGGCAAAAAACAAATAAACCGAGGGCTGCGAGACAGAAAAAGATCAAAATTGAAAATCTATTTTTCAATCTTTGATTAGTGGTTGCATAATTTGATAATGAACATCAAGTACAGAAGTCAGAAGTCAGGTGCAGAAGTCAGCTGGAGAGCCCCGCTGTGGTGGTCTAGTAACTAAGGTAGTCGGCTGCTGCTCCGGTCGTGGGTTACAATCCGAGCTGTGGTGGTTGCATTTCCTATGAACGCGGAAATGTTGTAGGTCCGTGTGCTCAGATTTGGGTGCACGTTAAAGAACCCCAGGTGGTTGAAAATTCCGCAGCTCTCCAATACGGCGTCTCTAATATTCATATGGTGGTTGTTGGACCGTAAACCCCACATATCAATCAATAAATCAATCAATTAATCAAGCGAAGTTAGCAGGAGAGCGTATGTCAGCGACATTTGCTCACTCTTTTGAATATTAAGTACAGTTCTCATATTCCAGCATGAATTTGTAACAGTGAACCATGACCAAGACAACTAGTGTACTGCTCTCGAGAAAATGTACCAGCTCAAAAATCCTCATTTTCTAAAGAGCAACTGCTAGCAGTAAGAATAGATAATTTGAGGTTCGTTCTGCACCATTTTTTGACCTCAACTGCATGCCGACGTTCACGAAAGAGATGTGCAGAGGCATTATTTATTTGGAGGGAGACCGACCTGTCCATCGCTATTTTTTGTACGTCATACTTGACCTTGGTGCATGTTTTGGCATTCTCTTGAACAACGATGTGATGCTGAATAAGGATAAGAGTAGCCACTCCCCTTAAATAAAGTCAGTTAGAGACAGAAATGAGTAAAAAGCACTCAGTAATGCGAAATATTGTGCATAAATTCTCATTGCAGAAATAACTAATCGTTGAAATGCTAAAACGTGCTGTTTTCCCAGCATACAAGTCGCGGCAGTTCGCGCGTACGAAATGCAAATGTTAGAGTAGGTACGCTAAAATATCCATGCAACGTTTACGTGCGAAAGCGAATTGTCTTCAAACAGCTGAGAATAGGCTACTGTCACGGACACTTGTGTACTTTCCGACACAAATCGGTCCAATTTCTCACAGCACACGCACATGCGGAGAACATACGCAGGTTTCGACAGCCGAACACAGCCTCGTCCGCGAATTTCGGTGAGCGTAACACCCGCAGTTGATGGGGAAGCACTAAAACGACGCACAAACACACGGTAATCGGTCTTGCAGAACGGCGCTGCATAATTCGAAGTCGGAGCCGAAAGCGCTCACCGTAGTTGTCTCGAATTCATGAAGCCCTACAAACTATTCGCTGATCAAATGCATGCACATGGCACAAAAACAGTTCAAGGTTCCGCAGGCGGTTTGCAAAAACCCACTTGGTAGATATATGCTCCGGCAAAAAGACTCGCCGCCACGCGGTGGCGTTGGTGCAGTGGGTAAGCCATCTACTTCACGTGCATGCGATCCTGAGTTCAATTACAGGGATGTGCTTTGCATGTTATTCTCGCTAATATGGGTAATTGTGATTCTAGGAGAACTATAATTACCTGTAGTCATAATTTCCGCCGCAGTCTCGGCGAGAAAGCGCTCTGAAAAGCGTAAAATAGTACGTTTTTCCCGCCACCGCATCAAGGCCGGGCCGCCTACTAAATGTCACGCCTAATCGCAGGCCGTGCCTTGCCAGGAAAAGTTTAGCCTAAAATCCCGGCTATTCTTTGTCCTGGCTAATTCGAAGGCCACCTCAAATCGGGCCGGTTTCTCTGCAACACGGCTATTTAGTCGCCTAGACGCGGCGATAGTTTGACTCGATTTCCTGCCTGCGGGCGTGCAGTCTAGCCAGGATTTGATTTGGACTGTATGAAGGGGAGTGTATCAATACAGTCGAAACGCGAAAAGTTCTGTTTTTTTTTTTTGAAGAGCACCTATCCAGGAATGCACATATCAACAGCGTAGAAGTGGAATTGGAAAAATATGTGGGATGTTTGTACAGAGCTGCTGCTTTCATCCCTGTGAGGCAGATGAAATCAATGTATTATGCTCTGTTGTCCTTGAATTTATGCTACAGAAGTTCAGTATGGAGGACGACAACACAAGGCAACTATAAAAAATTTGAAATACTGAAAAAAACGTTTACTACGCTGTTTTGGGCAATAGAGCGGCTACCCACAGGATTTAAGAACAGAACCATTATTTATAAAGCATAACCCTATCGCAAAATCTACCATGGTGGGCACTGAAAACATGGCAGGCGTTGTGGAAATAATAGTGCATAAAGTGGAAACGATGGTGGGAAGTAGCGGGTCGATAGTGGGAAATCATGGGGGGCTCTGCTCATTATTGCGATAATGCTGGAAAAAGTATTTAGTAGATGTTAGGTGGTGCTTATTATGGTCGGCCACATGGTTTACCAAGCTGAAAAGCTCTTCCCACTATTGCGATAATGCTGAAAAGCACTAAGCAGATGATGAGTGATGGTTATTATGGCGGGCCACTGGGTGCACCAATATGAGAAGCTCGGCCCACCATTGCGATGATGCTGGGAAGCAGTAAGCAGATAAATGGTGGGCTTATAACCTCGGGCAATATATACATAGTGTGCCAAGCGGCGATCTGCACACTACATGTTCTACCAATATGATTTCCACCAAAGTTTAGGCCTACCAACCGAACCCGTACATTTGTGTTATCTGCGCTTCTGGGTTTAAAAATACACAATTGCGACGAGTAAAAATGATAATATTTCACATCCATGGCATCAATTAACCTAAATAAAAATTTTTATTGTGTCAGGTGTCCGCGCAAGAACAAACAAACATCGATGCGACGCGATTCCAGCATTTCCAGAGAGCGTACGTCTCCTCTTACCGACAGCCGGCACTTTTCTGGCTCTTATGCGAGAACACAGACTTGACAATTCGTACGCTTGCTGAATCACTATGAAAGCATGATGTTTCCGGTGCACTGCATTCGTGTTGGCCAAGCCGGTATGTCGTTGTTGCTAGCTACAGCAGTACACTGGCATGACTGCGCTCGACGTTGGACGAAAATCATCCCAATACTTAATCAATTAGGTGGGCGTATCGATGGAATAAGCCTAGAAGCGTGATAAAGCCTGGGCAGATGTCGCCCATGAGAACGAGCGAGGAACGGTTAATAAACTTGTCAGACACCGCTGGTAAACTGCACCTGCTCCCCAGACCACTTGGTTTTCTTTTTCTTGCGAATGTGAGTGTTAGCAAAAACATAGCGCCCGTGCCATTATCACTGTGGCAATTGTTACAAAAACAGTTCATTGTGTTTATTAAATGTGAAAATTATAGTAGCAGGCGCAGGTCTCGTCTATGTCGAGTACGCGAGAAACAAAACTGAAGTTGAACCATCAGTTCATATGTGAACTAGCGACGGCTGAACTAGCTATTTAACACTCCAGTTTAGTCACGTTGGTATGGCGCAGTGGTTAGTGTCTTCGATTGAGAATCCGCAGGTTGCACGTTTGAATCTCCGTTGTAGCCTGTTTTTCAACATCACTTTTCATTCATTTTTGTGGCAGCTTGTCACGGTGATGCTGACGCAATTTCACGCTAAAGCGTTGCCGGCACTGCAGCATCTGCTATATCTCACCTACACCATGCAGAACGTTTTCCAGCATTCATCCACTACATTATTCTACTATTATTGTGGGCGGTAGTTTCCACCATGCCCACCATTTGTTTTATTTATAGGAAACGTGTTAAGGGCTGATCAAATCTTCTATCTCAAGTTACTTTAATTAGTACATCGTGAAACATTATATATCATAAAGAACAAAAATAAACAGCGTATTGCTTTAGAGCACAAAAGCGACACATGCCCACAACACGAAAAAATTATGATAAGAAAACTATAAAATTTCAAACCATGTTTTTCTTAACCGGATGGAAGGAGATTTGGACTTCAATGTGATTTCTAACCTTTTCAGAAAACAGCTGAGACGAATTTGAATAATTAACGCACTCACTTTGAGGATGCTGAATTAAAATACATGCTACTATTTGGTGTATAAGTACGCAATTGGGGCTTCTGCGAAATGACATGTCATACAATGTTTAGATTAACTTGTTTTCAATTTTTTTCTGTGAATTTTTTTATTTACTTTGGACACAATTATGGTAGCTTCAGAAATGTACCAGCAAGTAAATATGCTACCGTTAAAATTATTTTTTTTACTACTGTACAAAAGACTCTTTTCGTTCAGTCATTTGGTATTGTGAACTGAGTTTTTGTTGGTCTTTTTCCAATCCACGCTGTAACAAAATAAAATTGTATGCAATGAACATGTTCTGCATATTTGCTATTTATTATTTTGTAAAGCTGGTACAGAGAACTTTCGTCAGGTGTTGCTATATCTTCAGCCTCCGAATCTTCCTTGTTGTAATTCAAGAAAAATAGAAAATCTGAATGTGAATCTTTTCGTGTTGTACATCTGCTACGCAGTTCGCCGTAAACGAGACTACGATCCACGATGCCCCAAGATTTAAGCACCGTGGTCTCCTCATCGACACCTCCAGGCACTTTATTCCGCTCAAGAAGGTTGTTGAAACACTGGTGAGTGTTTAATAAATAAAAAATTGATAATTTGTTTCATTGTTTCAAGGTGGATTACCAAGAAATATGTGTAGCACAAGGAACAGAAATGACACAGAATTTGTATCAAACGTGCTCAAGAACAGAATGTATTTTTTTGTTTTGCGCATGCTCATCTAAAGTTCCTATTGGGTCGTCATGCGTCTTTGTTAAGCGGCAGACGTTTGAGCATTGAGGTATTGAACATTTGAGCCATTGAGCAGCCATTCAAGAAGCGCACGTATTCTTACATAGTAATCCATACTTGGACATTTCAGTCGTGCTGTGCTGGGTAGCGGGTGGGCCCGATTTCAATACGACATGCATATGTTCTTAGTGTCCACGTGGATCCTATATTTTAAGAGGATCAGTGGTAAATAGGGGGGTTTCCGCGACATATATGGCTAACACGTTTTCAGCCCGATGGCAACTTTTTCATTTAGTGTACGTGCGCTTTGTTCAGGAAATAATCAATTTTGGAGGCATATACATGAGCTGGCACAGTCCTCATATAAGAAGAGTCGTTGGCTTACCACGTATTCCAAGGCCGTGAACTGTTCAGGGACCCAGAACGATTGTCGTCATGTGAAATCATCAACTAGGACAACTCCACTTCTCGTAGACAAGTGGTGATAGGGGAGTTTGCCCGATTGCTGCGTGGCATGCCTGCTGGTATTGTGGCACGTACTTGATATGTTTTCTTTTCTGTTGAGTACTTGACTGGTTACTATATAACTATCACCGCAGTTACTATATGCTAATAGTTATTCTTACTCTTAGTCACTGTCTGAGCAACCAATTTGCCTAGCTAGCAGCTGCCGATTGAGCTAAATCTGAGTGAATACGATCATATTTCTTAGTTTCAGACGTGAAGCAGTTTATGATCAGGGCTTTTCACTTGTACGTTCTCGTAGCTACGCTGCTGTTCAGAGCACCCACTGGATGGCTCTGCGGTAGAGTTCTCGCGCCACTCCGGTGCGTGCTGCTGGTATGAGCGGAGACCACTAACAGCGCTGTTTTGTTCTGTATAATAAAAGCCCTTGCTCGTAAGAGCTTCTATGGTTTTACTTGCCCGATCGTGCTTCTGTGTCATGACAAATTTCTCAAGGCGTGCTACCTACGGCGACAAAAGGCCCATTAAGACGCTTGAGTGCGCTTATACTGCGCCTTCCGAGTTATTTAGAGTCCTGCGTTGAAAATGGCTAGCAAATTAGACTGTATGGGAGCGGTGACCGCCAGCGTGCCGATTGTATGTAGAAGAGGGGAACGATGATCGTGAGCGTGCTCGTGGCAAGCAGCAGCCGCTGGCAGCGGACAGTTGCCGTCGAGGTTCCAATCAGCAAACATGGTGCTCTGTCGGTCTCCGCCCCTTCGTTGAGGGGTTCTCAGCTTAGCCAGAGCCCCGAAATCCCACAAATGTTAAACGCCTGTGACAAGCTGCTTGCTCGATAGGCTATTAAAGTGGTCTCGTAGTCGTAACGCATAAAGCGTAACCGAAGTCGCAGAAGTCTGGGTGTTAGGCTGTAGACCTGGTTATGAAAAAGAATGGGCATTGAAAGCTTTTGACCATTTTCTAAATCGAAGTGAAGCCCGATGGTGTACTGTCCTAATTCATCACATGCCAAAGTTATCCTAAGAGCTTTCTCCCCGTAGTTGACAGTAGGCTCTTTCAGCTGAGGCCAACGCTTTTCAAGTATACGCGACTGACCGCTGATTGCCGTGTGAGCCTCCTCGGGACAGAACTGCTTCAAGATTGTAGCTTCCAGCGTCTGATGAGACACTGAGTTGTTGATTGTGCTCATAGAGCTATACTCGGCGACAACTTTTCTTGGCATTGGATTGAAGCCTACCGAGCCAAATCGCGGGCCGCCAATCAATGTAGTTCCACAACAGTGCTCCTATTTTCACTATGAAATATAGAAATTACCCCTTTATTTTCTACGTGGAGCTATTTGAGACTAGACACAACTCCCACCTTTAGGATAGTCGTATTTACTTTACCTTATTCGTTGTGACTTTGCGTTTTGGAACGCACGAGAAAGCCCCGCCTTTTTACGTAAACCTCAAAAGCTAAGCGGCGTCTGCGTATACATGAAACGCAGATGATACGCCGCAGTAACTTTCCAAAGCGTTACAAGACGCGTGCGAAAACGGACTACTTCGCGTAGTGAAACATGTGCAAACGCTCCGCCTCCGTAGCTTTCATTCGAGTGGCCAAGAAAAGTTGCCGCCGATTATAGAACTGGTTGTGAAGTGGTGAATAATAAGCCTATATAATATTCAGTGAACGGAGGGTCCGGATCTCGGGACACCTAAATGGCCACCTGGAGCTGTTGCTCCCGCACTGCCACAATGGCTCGCTAAACGACCAAAGCTGATGCGTCAGTTCTGAATTGAGCAGCGTGGTGGACCACCGCACATTTCCCAAAACACGTGTTAAAGGCATGCTTTAGCTGACTTGCATAGCTTACACGTATCGCTCATATCTAAGTGCAAATCTTTAATTGCATGGTAGACGCATGGGTCTGTAATCACCTCCAAGCCAGGGTGTCGAAAACAAATGTTTTTCACTTATTTAGCTACGTTCTCACGGAAAAACTTCCGCCTGGTTTCTGCTCTTGAATGAAGGAAATTAGCCCTGCCGCGGTGGTCTAGTGGCTAAGGTACTCGGCTGCTGACCCGCAAGTCACGGGTTCGAATCCCGGCTGTGGCGGCTGCATTTCAGATGGAGGCGGAATTGTTGTAGGCCCCTGTGCTCAGATTTGGGTGCACGTTAAAGAACCCCAGGTGGTCGAAATTTCCGGAGCCCTCCACTACGGCTCTCTCATATGTGGTTTGGGACGTTAAACCCACATATCAACCAAATCAATTAGTAAAGTAACGGTCTATAAAGTTAATTATTGGTATGCCAATTTGAGAGTTCAAAAAACGAAAAAAACTGCTAGAATTTAGTACAATTATACTTGTTCTCTTTCAGAAAATAGGACAGGGGTATATCACGTTCTCCCCACATTCGTAAGAGGAGCACAACTAACAGTAACAAGAATTACCTAGAAATCAGCGCAATTTAGTGCCACATAAGGTGTACTAGTCGTTTTCAAAGGGGTATCACAACCATGACGTTTTAGGGGCTATTTGGTTCAATTCATGCAGAAAAAAATGCGCTAAAATAGAAAAAAACACTAGAAAGGGCCACGAACAGATAAAGCGCGATTGCCTCAATCTGTGCATGTTGCTTTGTACATTGATCGTACCGTGCATGTTTGATTTGAGCGCAGACGGTCGTGTTCGCAACTTTATCATTAAAACCAACTGTTTTGCTGTTTTACTGGTGACTGCGTGTGACGTCGTCCTGTATGAAAAACGAAGTGTTCCACCTATTGTTGCAAGGACCTTGAACAATAGCTTCATTCATGCTCTAGCAGCTGCTTCAGAAATGACTGCTTGAAGTCTGCAATACTCGTTCTGCTGCACCGTTCGATTGTTCATGATAAGTCGGAGTCAAGTATGCTTGACGCCATTCATTCGCCTGCAGGAAATATTCAAACTATTTTGCCTAGAACTGTGACCTGTTGTGCGTAGCTAACTCATGAGGCAACGCGTATTTGCCAAAACAGTTACCATACTGTTTCAAATCTAGTTTGAGCACTATTTGAATATAAGAAACGGGACTTGTACATCTACCCAACTGAAGGGTGAGACAATGGTTACCAGAAACGTCTTGTTTTCGTTTTCCGCATTCTCTAGATGCACTCGCTCCTGTCAGTTAGTTCACCAGTTCGACGGGGCAAGTGGTGCTGGCGAGCCTGTTTGCCTCACACTCTCACAGATGTGACACTGTTTCACAATTTCTAGAGGCAGCTATCAAATATTCCCGGCCATCATACCAATGATCTAGCCAGAGCTTTCTTTTTACTTATGCTTAAGTGTCATTGATATAGCAGCTATAGTGCTTTCTTCTAATCACCTGGGGGTATAATCACGTGATTCTTTCAAATTAAGCAGCCCTAATCTGCAGAAGCTTCAAAGCATCTCACAAAAAATGTTCATACTGCACATCAAGAGATTGCAGCCAGCCATGTGATGGCATTTCACGGGCAGCATTAAAGACAGTGTCTGGAAATGTTTCACGTGCGGGGTCCTTTGTTTTTGAAGAAAAGCTGACACGAACTTCGGAAAAATTTGGATTGCTGTTCGAAATGACGGTATGGATCTCTAGAAATTGAAAGCGAGTCTTGTCGTGATCGGAAATGCATCGATTATCTTTCTAGAGCCGCTGCCTTTAAGGCACTTTTTTGGTTTAGATATTGAATGTGGCTTCTCCGTGACGGGTCAGAGCATTGTAACGTCATGGAAAGACAGCAACTGGCGATGTACTAGTGACAAATTTACCATGTTTTTTTTGTCGCACATATACAACAAAAAGAGTTCTCGTCCAGTCACCCTGATAGTGATTTCTGCGATTTTGGCTGCCGTCTTTATGCAGCGCTCGCAAATTCACGAACTGTATTCACTCGTCAGGATAAACTCCATTGGAATGGGGCTAGCTTATGGTGCGCTCACTCAGCGAAGAAACATTTAAAAGTTAAAAAAAACATATTTTATACGTGTTTTCTGACTCTGGTGTGTGACGAGTGTTGACACTACATACGAAGAAAATTACAAATGTACCTTTCACAGTGTCTCAAAGCATGCCAGTACTCCTATAAATGCAACTTTCTGACCGGTCAGAAATAATAAATCTTATCTACATCATCAGTGTTTTCAGACAACCGTAGACTCGATAAGCCTTCAGCATAGCTAATATTTGCCCCTGATTAGTTTAAAATGCGAAAGCGGTCGTTTGACAGAAAAATGACGAAACGAAGTATTCGCACAGCTGCTGCAGCACTGCTTTAATGTCTAGCTTCAAACATTTCTGTGAGCGGCTGGTCATCAGTGAAAACAACGACGCGACTCAGACACAAATAAAATTTACTTAA